CCCATAATGTTGTTGCAAAAAAGGCCCCTACATTTTCTCAAATCAACTTGCGGTCCAGTTTGAAGTGACTACAGAAAAACTTTTTGTTGTGTATGGAAAATACCTTGATATTTAGTTTAATCAACCCGCAATCCATATCATATGTTTCTTAAAATAGTCATATCTTTTAAAATGTCACTCCAATTTTATCATACCATATGGAATTTGATTAAAAATTTATAGAATCTAAATATTATGTTATTTTACCTATCAACCATTTTAAAAATGCTATTTTGGGTACAACCTTAATTAATAGTGCACAATCCGTCTTTCTTCCTTATCAGTGTAGATCCAAATTTAAGATAAGTACCTCAACAAAATTAAATTGAACACGAAAGAAACCATCTATAACCACGCATGCACCCGTTTGGAAAACTTCACGGGGAAAAAGAAAGCATATTTCTCATCTTATGCCGAGAGAGATAGACGCCTTAGGATTGACCACGTTCAAACGCATTGTAATTGTGTGAGCACCGAAGCCACCGTCAGCAATGTGGGAAGGAGAATAAGTGCCAACACATATGGGTGCCATGTTGAAATATAAGACATGGACCTATTAGGGTCTTGAGTCATGATTATTGGGTTAGGGGCGTGTGTTATTTTTCTTCTCCCATTACAACGCACGGGCTCTCTTTTGACAGTAATATACTCATCCACCACGTCTGTCATTTGTTACTACCCCATGTATATCTCCTCATTATCTTCTCTAGCGACGGCAGACAAATTGTGGGACGCTGTTCGTTTCGATCGATCGAAGATTGCTGATATCCTCCAATAAACCTAAGAACTTTCCAGAAATTTGCTAATACTTTTCATATCTCCGTCATTGAGCAGGAAGCTGACGAGTTAGTCCGCCGCTGAGCAAGACAAGCTAGTGAGAATACAAGTTGTATCACCCGCAAAAAAAAAAAAAATAAGTTGTATCAGCAGAGCACAAAGCATTCTGACAAAAAGAAATGGACATACCTGAGTCTGAGTGTAAGGATCATAAGATAACCGGAATTGAACCCATTCTGCCGGGTGGGCTAACCTTGATTGAATGAATTGCATCTTTCTCAACAACTTTTTACTACAGATTAGTTACTGGGATAACTTCAACTATCAAACTTTGACGTATACATTATCAAATGTACATGCTATCAGAAAAAATGTACTGTATTTAGCGAGAACTACGAGGTCTATTTACATGGTATTGTTCTAAGCAGCCTGAAAGCCAAAAATACAGAGGGCCTTGAGTGATGTGGCTCCTCATGGATTAGTTAAAGACCTATTAGCTAAGCCTCTTGTAAAATACTGGGATTAGTATTTGCAAAGTTGCTCCTTTTGCAGAATAGGAGGCCTAGTCTGGCTTGGTGTACTCGAGCAGCATGTGCGGTGACCTGTAAA